CCCCCCCCCCTCTCCCCCAGCTGCCACCCGCTGTCGGGGGAGTGCGCCTGCTCCGCGGGGTGGGCGGGGCCTCACTGCAACCAGACCTGCCCCCCCGGTTTCCACGGCGACGGCTGCGGGGCGGCCTGCTCCTGCAGCAACGGCGCCGAGTGTGACGCCGTCAGCGGGGAGTGCAGGTGTACCCCAGGATTCATGGTGAGACACACACACACACACACAGAGACACACACACACAGAGACGCACACAAACACACAGGCTGGTTCTGCTTCAGGCCTTTGAACCTGTTTATATTCATTTTTCATTTATTGTTTTATTTGTATTTTGTTTGGATGATTTTATGAATATTTTTCTCCCATTTTTTGTTTTCCATCCATTTTTTATTTACTTATGTATATTTTTATATACATTTTTTATGTATATTTATTCATTATTTTATTTTAAGTTTTTTATGAATATTTTTTAAGCTTCTCCCATTTATTGTTTTTCATTCATTTATTATTTACTTATATATATTTTTCCATACATTTATATTCATGTATATTTATTTATTTATTATTCTTTTTTATTTTTTTATTAGTATTGGTTTCTCCCATTCATTGTTTTTCATTTATTTACTAATCAGGATCAAAGATGACAGTATTTGTGTGTCTGATAAGATATGACCCCCCCCCCTCCCATCTCCCCCTCCTCCTGGTTCTGATGGAGGTTTTCCTCCTGGTTCTGGGCCAGGAGGACTCCTCCAGAACCAGAACCAGAACCTGCCTGAGGCCGTTTTGCTCTTAACCCCAGAACCAGGAAGTGCTGATTCTGTGTGGCTGGTTCTGATTGGCTCTGGTGTCCTGCGTGTTTCCAGGGAGACGACTGCTCCGTCAGCTGCCCCCCCGGCCGGTTCGGACCCGGCTGCTCCTCCTCCTGCTCCTGCCAGAACCAGCTGTCCTGCTCCGGCACCGACGGCTCCTGTGTCTGCACAGCAGGTCCGACACCAGTCCACGAACCGGTTCTGAGTCCACGACCCGGTTCAGAGTCTATAAACCGGTTCAGGGTCCAGAAACCGGATCTGAGTTTACAACCCGGTTCAGAGTCCAGAAACCTATTCTGAGTCCGAGACCCAGTCCAGAGTCAAGAAACCGGTTCAGAGCCCAGAAACCTGTTCTGAGTCCACAACCTTGTTCAGAGTCCAGAACCCGGTTCAGAGTCCACAATGCCGTTCACGACCCAGTTCCCAATCCACAGGACGACCCGGTTTAGCGTCCAAAACCGGTTCAAAGTCCATGTCCTGGTTCTGAGTCCACAACGTTCTGGTTCTCATCCGGAACCGGGTCGAACTGGGTGGAACTTAAACTTAAAGTTGTTTCTGACCCTAAGGCGGGTGGTTCTGGTCCCGGTTCTGAACCCCGTTCTGTGTCTCTGCAGGCTGGACGGGCCCGGACTGCTCGCTGCCCTGCCCCAGCGGGTTCTGGGGGCCCGGCTGCAACCGGACCTGCCGCTGCGACCCGGTCGGCGGCGCCGGCTGCGACCCGGTTAGCGGCGCCTGCACCTGCTCGCCGGGCCGGACCGGCGAGTCCTGCGACGCCCCGTGTCCGGTGAGTGGTTCTGCTGGGGTTCTGCCGCCCGACCCGGCTCAACCAGAACCGACCCGGCTCATCCAGAACCTGTGTCCAACAGGAGGGCTCGTTCGGGCCGGGCTGCTCTCAGAGGTGCGACTGTGGCCTCGGCGCCGACCCGGCCCGCGGCGCCGGCTGCGACCCGGTTAGCGGCGCCTGCCGCTGCCTCGCCGGCTGGACCGGTGAGTCCTGCTGCTCCCCGCCCCCACACATCCCGCCAGTTCTGACCGGGCGCCCTGTCCCAGAGACAGAACCGGACCCTCAGAACCAGACCGAGTCTCTGGTTGTGACCCGGGCCTGGTCCCAGTGCCAGAACCGGACCGTCTCTGGCTCTCCGGCTCTCGTCACAGCGCTTTCCAAACAGAGCAGCTCAGAAACCCAACGGTTCCCACCAAGAGCAGCACTAGGAGACCCAGGGAGGGAAAAACTGCCTTTAGGAGGCAGAAACCTGGAGCAGAACAAAAGAGGGAGAGAAGGACAGAGGGAGCAGAGGACGAGAGAGACAGAGAGAGAGAGAGAGAGAGAGAGAGGGCAAGGGAAAGAGAGAGGGGGAAAGAGAAAGACAGAGGGCGAGAGAGAGAGAAAGAGAGAGAGAGAGGGCAAACGAGACAGAGAGGGCAAGAGAGGTGGGGGGGGGTGAGAAAGAGAGAGAGAGAGGGCAAGAAAGAGAGAGAGAGAGGGCAAGAGAGGTGGGGGGGATGAGAAAGAGAGAGAGAGAGGGCAAGAAAGAGAGAGAGAAAGGGCAAGAGAGATAGGGTGGGGCAAGAGAAAGAGAGAGAGAGAGAGAAAGGGCAAGAGAGAGAGCAGGGGGGCAAGAGAAAGAGAGAGAGAGAGGGCAAGAAAGAGAGAGAAGGCAAAAAAGAGAGAAAGGGCTAGAGAGAGAGAGAGAGAGAGAGAGAGAGGGAGAAAAGGACAGAGGGAGTCAGCCTCCACAGTAACATATCCAGACAGTAAAGGTATTGTTTCTATAGACTGAATGAAAAATGGTAGATATTGATAGTAATGTTAATGGATGAGAACAGTAATATAGCAACAGGAACAGGAGGTGGGGGGGGGGGGGCGGCTCCCAACCCCAGACGAGGGGCTCATGCAATCCGGGTCTCTCCAGCCTGTCCTGAAAGAGCCTGAAGTCCACATGTCTGAAAGAGGCTGATGAAAGAGAGACACTCAGCTCAGAGCCAGGAGGGACAAAATAATCCAGAGGACTCTTTGTTCTGCTTTAATGTGCAGATGAAGGGAAACGGGCTTTATTACAGCTAGATGTCAGTTTACAGGAGCTTCTGCGGTTTGAGGGGGCAGAGTTTAAATCATTAGATGTTTCTGTAATCACCATTAATGAAGAAACGGCACGTTTAGGGAGCAAATTAAACACACGAGCTGAAAAATGAGTGGAGAGTTCCACAGTTGTTGGAATAAAGTGTGCGGCAGATGTCAAGGAGGTGCCACCAGTCCAACAGTAGTCAACTAACAGACGGCTAACGTTTAGCTAATAGTTAGTTTCACTAACAGCCCAAATTTAGCTGACAGTATGCCAACAGTAAGCTAACGTTTCACTAACAGTTAGCTCGAACTTACCTGACAGTGAGCCAACAGTTAGTTAACCTTTCGCTAACAGTTAGCCCAAATTTTGGTGACAGTAAGCTAACACTTAGCCAACAGTTCGTTAACGTTTTGCTAACAGTTTGCTCGAATTTAGCTGACAGTGAACCAACAGTGAACCAACAGTTAGCCAACAGTTAACCAACAGTTAGCAAACGTTTCACTAAAAGTTATCTCGAACTTCGCTGACAGTAAGCTAATACTTAGCCAACAGTTAGCTAACGTTTTACTATCAGGTAGCTCAAACTTAGCTGATATTAACCAAGTAAAAAAAAACAGATGGAAAAATAAACATCTTTCCAGTTGAAATGCATCACAATAGATGTAAAACAGTTCCTACAATCATCCGAATAATCAGATTAGAAGTCCTGTCAGCAGCATAGCATCCCAACCAGCACATAAAAAGGCTTTATCAGAAAAAAAAAAGTTAGCAGAAATCTTCAAAAAGATTAAGTCCAGTTCAGAGGGAAACAACTTCTTAGAACATCACGAAATAAAGGTCATTAAAGGGGGCCTAATATGGCTCTTTAGCTCTCTGACTGTAACATTAGTGGTGAGTTTGAGGCTGCGTTCACTACAGCGCTGCGTCCAAACCCTGTTTAAGCAGAATTAGCATGAACAGGCCCAAACTTTCTGAGTCTGTTGGACTAGTTGTTCTTTGTGAAAGGGCTGCAGTCGACCCAAACAGCTGGACAGATGTGAGCTTTCATTGTTCCTGAGCATTTTAATACGGACATTTTTAAATGCATCCCACACATTTTACCAGCTGGTTGCTCTTCGTTCTTTATCTAACCAACAACTTATTTTTTAACCATTTGTTTTTGCTCAAAAATACAATTAAAATCAGCATATCATTAAAATACATGTTGGAGTCAGATATAAATATGCATTTGAACTCCATCCAGCCTTTGTTGTCCTCCAGCAAATCTAATTATCGGGAAAGGCTTCAGGGCAGCAGCCATATTTATTCAGTTTGTGTCTGTTGTGAGCCGAAACAATACATAATTAATTTGTTTAGTACTAAACATAGGAATAAATGAGAACTCTAACTTTTTCCCCCGTTTGGAAAAACTCGTGTTTTCGAAGGATGGTCAAGCATCAGGATGTGGTGAAATGAAGACAGAACTTTTCGAATTGGAGGCACTTAAAGACCTTTATCTCAGTTTGTTTTCATTTAAGTATCGATGTTGTTATTCTTCTTCTTGACAGCAAATGAATAATTGCTCATTAACTGGAGCTGGATCCTGAAGGCCATCGTCAGTCACAGCTGCAGCTCATCTGTCCTCCAGCCAGAGGTTCTAGCTCTTCCACCAGTTCAGTCCTCTTTAGAGAATCTCAATGAGGATGCAGGTGTTAATCTGCGTAGTGCACAAAAAATGACATGCCTTTATTGTGGGATTTCCTGTTTCTCTCTATTATTCTTCCATATTCCGTACGTTTTTCTGCGCCCATAGTTTTAATCCGATTTCAACAAATCAGGTATCAAAACATTCGGCTTCTTTAGGACATGGGTGCTGTCTCTTTTGGTGGTAAAAACTTTTCAAATTTTCAAATTATTCAACTTTTTCTGCTTTTTTCCTCTCGTTGGAATGAATGGAGCTTTTATTCTGGTGCCATCTTCTGGTGATTTGAAGAACATAGAGCAGGGTTTAGCTCAGTGGTAGAGCGTTAACTCCAGATTGAGAGGTCCTCGGTTCAAATCCCATAAGAATCTTATTGTACCTTATTGATAATTTCATGGCCTTTTACTCATTTTTTCTTCTCCTAATCCGGTTCTGCCATTCTTCTTCAACTCTTTCAAGCATCCTTCAACCATTGTTCTTTTACTTTCAACTGACTTTTGGCCACATTTCAGTGTTTCTGTGTCTTTTTCAACTTTTCTTTGGCTTCCTCTGGTTCCTCCCCTCAGCGTTAGGCGTTCTCACAGCTATTTGTCAGGAACAGCCCTTTCTATTTACCGGTTGTTCAGCCCAGACGTTGTTAGATAGGCAAACAGGGACAGATTTGAGCTCAAACGTTTGGGATAACACAGCTTCTGAACCTGGACCTGATGCCTTCAGGTGCTGGTGAATCTGGACCTGGTTCTCCCACCTGTTCAATAAACCCTAACTCAGGCTGTTACCAGCAGCTGTTGAGGGATAAGGGACGTAACACAAACCAGATCTTCTTGGTGATGACGAAAAGTTATTTATTAGCTAAACTATTCACAATGTAAACAGATGAATAAAGGTAATTTAAAAAGACGAGTAAAGGTAATTTACGAGGAAGAGTTTTTAAAATATGATAGTATAGTTGCTAAAATCTGACACATAGTTATTAAAATATGATTGTATAGTTATTAAATAAAATATGATAATATAGTTACTAAAATCTGACAATATAGTTATTAAACTACTAAAATATTACAAATACCTATTGACCAGAGTCCTGTAGGGGGTGAGAGGCGATGCATGATGGGTAATGATGCATGATGGGTAAAGCCCACCAGGGGATGATGTAATGATGTGATGATGTAATGATGTGATGATGTCATCTACCTGTTAGGACAGACAGTGACTGTTGGGGGGCTTTCCTGACTTGGGGGGCTCTTCTGACTCGGAGGGGGGGTTTCCTGAATGGGGGGGCTCTGCAGGGGCTGATGACCTGTCTCTGTGCTCAGGGCTCCACTGTGACAGCCCCTGCGGGGGGGGGCCGCTGGGGGCCCGGCTGCTCCCACAACTGCAGCTGTGAGAACGGAGGCTCCTGCTCCCCCGAGGACGGCAGCTGCACGTGCCCCCCCGGCTACCGAGGCTCCAGCTGCAGGCGGAGTAAGCGCACACCACCCTGCACCACGCCCACACTGGGTGGGGTGGGGGGGGGGGGTCACTTATTCAGTCTCTAGCTCCACCTTTATCATAAACCAACATTTATCTGCATTTGTAGGCAGTTTCCTCCTCGATACTCAGCCTGACCAGAGCACGGCACACATGATGGGGGTCTTTTTAGGACTTTAGGGACACAAACTGGACAAAAACAAAATGATTTTAGGCCTTTATGGACACAAACTGACACAAACAAAATTATTTTCCTTCATCTAAAAATGTAAAAAGCAGATTTTTTAAATGATTTTCTTAAGAATTCCCCACACAGATGTTCCTCCTCCAATTAAATGGATCACACACAGTATCCTCTCCTTTCTCAGGTCACATGGGACAGCATGCCCTGCTCCCATTGGCCCGTGTGTGTGACTAAGCTCTGGTTTGAATCCTTTCCTACAGTTTCATCAGGCTGACACTGCTGTTAAAGTGGTATTTCTGAGGTTTTAATGAGGAGAAAGGAGCTTTTCCAGTTATTTGATAAATGTATGCTTAGACCTTTTGAGTTGGAAGGAAGAAGAAGGGTCTCAGTTCTCTGGGAGAAAAACCCGGGGAAGTTTAAATCAAAGGAAAGTGAGACGGGGCCTACGTCAGACATCTCTGCTGAGGCCCAGAGGAGACGCTGTGTTCCTGTCCTCTGCAGCCTGTCCGCCGGGTTTCTACGGCCAGCGCTGCGGCCAGCCCTGCCCGGAGTGCGTCCACAGCCCGGGGCCCTGCCACCACGCCACCGGCCTCTGCCCGTGTCTGCCCGGGTTCTTCGGAGCCCTCTGCAACCAAGGTCAGTCCCCCCCGTCTTTAAACCGGACGGCCCCAAGCAGGGCTCAGCCTGGGGTCATTTCCCTTTGATCCAGACTCTGTTCAGCCCCCTGCTGCTCTCAGCCTGAACTCCGTTAGCCTGAAGCTAACTCTGTTAGCCTGAAGCTGGAACCTCCCAGAGCTCCCACAGTGGGTCGACACCCAAAGTACATTTCCAACATAAGACGTCCAAGTCATTACAACAAGAAATATGAAAAATTATTTTAAATAAGAATAAATAAGCTAAGTTAGTTTAACGTTCCGATAGTGAAAGTCAGAGTAAGTTATGGTACATCCTGTATCTCAGTCTCCACCTCTACCTCCATTCAGTCTCTGAGGTAAAGGGCCAATAAAACCCCTTTTTATTGATTATTTCTTTAGCATTTATTTCTTTTTACTTCTCTCTTCTATAAGTCTTTTTTTATTGCTATCTGTAATTATCTCCGGTATTTATTAAGGAGTTATCGTAGGTTTTTGGAACGAATTATAGGAATTACAGTGTATTCTGATGGGAAGATTTGAACCAACATACCAATATTTTAACGTACGAAGTCAGTCCTGGAACCAGTTAAATTCTTACAGTATGTAGAGGTTCTACTGTATTAGTGAGAGTTGTCGAGATGTTGTCACACAATCAAACACTCAGTGTGTGTGTGGGGGGGGGAAGCGGGGTCCAGAGATCCCAAAGCGGATTTTTATCCTGGACCCGGCTGTAGAATGAGCTGATGGCTCTGCTGATGAGCGGGGACACGCTCTCCCAGGGACTGGGCTGCTGGCTTTGATCCACACTGCTCAGACATCCGAACAGAAGCTGGTAACTCTAACGCAACATAGGGAGCTTCATTAGGGCCCGAACAATTATCTGCTGTGTCCTGATGACACGATTAGAGCCACGGCTGGTGGACAAAGACAGCCCGGATGAGGGACATCTAGCTGAGCATTATAGGGCAAAGATACAGTGACACCAGGCGTGTTTATAGCATAAAAAGCTGATATTCAGCTGATTACACACACAAATGAAGGCTTTGAGTTTTAAACTTCTATATTACATTTGCTATGGTGATTCCCTCCTTTTACAGAGGGCAGCCATGATGGAATGTTTGTCTCTCCGGTTGAAAATCATAAGAATAACATATTTAATTTACTCCTATACATTTGAATATCAGTTGAGTGGTTCTGAGTGAAGCAGAGCTCAGTTTGGTGCCTTTCCTGGTTTGGAAATGATGAGATAAGGTGCCTTTCCTGATTTGGAAATGATGAGATAAGGTGTCTATTTTTTTCTTTTTAATTCCAGTGAATGCAAGGTGCTTCCGTTGTTTTTCCTCTTTGGAGGGGGGGTTAATGTGTATGCTTGCAGATGCATGCTGGTGCAGGTTTGCTGAGTATCTCTGTGCCCCCCCCCCCCCCCCCCCCCCCCCCCCGGCTGCCCCACGGGTTTCCACGGCGCCGGCTGCACCGAGGTGTGCCGGTGCCAGAACGGGGCGGACTGCGACGCGGTGACGGGCCGCTGCTCCTGCAGGACGGGCTTCACCGGCCAGAGCTGCGAGCTCAGTGAGTCACACCTCGTATCCAACCCCTCCTCCATCCGAGTCGGCCATTTTAATTAAGATATGTGACTACCAGCTTTCTCAGGTGGAAACGAAACTTTACTGTCTATACGAAATCGGAAGACAAACGATGTCCTAACCCTAACCTTAACCCTCCACCCTTCATAATTGTGAGAAATAAATATTTTCGGGGTTAAACTTCTTTGGACTTATTTTACAAACCTATTTAGCATACACTATTTTAACATAATATTATGTACAGAGTTTATTCAGTGTTTGCAAGATTAATTTCACAATTTTTAAATTAATGTCTATATTGCCATGAAGCAATTATAATTTTCTTGCCTGGGATGTTCCTATTGGTGATGTTATCAAAATGGCCGACTTGGATGTGGGCGGAGTTGGATATACATCCGTGGCTTCCTACAGTCTGCAGCCAGATGTACTTGGAGACGCCTGTAACCTTTGCCTTCCTGCAGAGTGCCCGGCGGGGACGTTCGGCTCCGGCTGCCAGCAGCTCTGCGAGTGCATGAACAACGCCACCTGCGACTACGTGACGGGAACCTGCTACTGCAGCTCCGGCTTCAAGGGCATCCGCTGCGACCAGGGTGAGCCTGCCACCCCAGACAGCTGAAAAGGGTTTAAAACAGCAAAGAAAAGGCTTTAAAACAGCTGAAAACTACTGAAGAAGGTTTAAAGCGAACTGAAAACTGATGAAAAGGGTGTAAAACTGATGGAAAAGGGGCTTAAAACAGCTGAAAAACTGTTCAAAAAGAGTTTAAAACAGCTGAAAAAGGGTTTAAAACTGATGAAAACTGCTGAAAAACTGCTAAGAACAGTTTAAAAACAACTGAAAACTGTTTTAAAACAGATGAAAAACTGCTAAGAACAGTTTTAAGAAGCTTAACTACTTTTAAACAACTGAAAATCTGCTTAAAAACAACTGAAAACAGTATAAAAATTCCTGAAAAACTGCGGAAAACTGCTGAAAAACTGCGGAAAACTGCTGAAAAATTGCTGAAAAACTGCTTAAAACTGTTTCAAAACAGCTGAAATACTGTTAAACAACTGAAAACTGTTTTAAAACTGCTGAAAAATAGTTTAAAAACAACTGAAAACTGTTTTAAAACGGCTTAAAAAATAGTTTAAAAACAACTGAAAACTGTTGTAAAACTGCTGAAAAATTGTTTGAAAACAACTGAAAACTGTTCAAAACCAGCTTTAGAACAACTGAAAACTGTTTTAAAAAGAGCTTTAAACATCTTTAAAACAGCTCAAAAACTGTTTTAAGAAGCTTAGATACTGTTAACTGAAAAACAGTTTTAAAAAGAGCTAAAAACTGTTTAGAAACTACTGAAAACAGTTTTAAAAAAGCCCCAAAACAGTTTAAATACTATTAAACAACTGAAGCACTGTTTAAAAAAGTCTAAAAACAGTTTAAAAACAACTGTAAAAAGTCTAAAACAGCGGGGGGG